GCTCGTACAATCAAAAGCCAGTTGGGTACTCACCAATACACTTGAAATTAAAAAAGAGACTCATTTTTGCGGGACTTATTCTAGTACATATTATAGCCGATATCAAGACTTTTTATAATGTATATTCAGAGTACTCCAGCCAGAAGCCGTTACTGAGATATCAGTGTTTTTCAAACAATCTCCTTATTCAGACCAGAATGAACTGATCTTGATTTCTTACCACGAATCAGTGACCATGAATCTTGAAAAATTTTTCAGATCAGGTCATTCTAATCTGAATCTTATTATTGATTGTACAGGGTCAGAATCTGATAAGATTGACCTGAAATCAAGATTCTGTCAGAAATGATCTCAAGATTGTCGACTTGTGTTAACTTCTCCCTTAACTTTTAGCCAATAGAATTCCTTAAAGCTCCTTTAACTTTTGTAGTGTAGACAAGGCCTTAGGATCAAATAATGTTATATTAGATTGGTTAAAGTAATCTAGGCATAAAATCTAGACAATGAATAAACGTAACCTTCAATTAACATGGATAGTAACAAGTCACGTCTAGCTTTCACGTTTACTGTAACGCGATATGTCAGATTATCTTGACTGAAAAAACGCGCGTAATTTTGGTTTTGAATGAATGAAACAAACATTATCTTCACTTTCTTTGTTATTTATCCTATTTTACAACATGGAAAAGAAAAAAAACTAATATTTTTCCACGTCGGAAGGTGACACCAAAAATTCTGACGAAAAGTCGTGCTAGAAATGGTTATCACGTCGTACATATAACACAATGAACATAAACATCTAACGTATTTCGTATCTAATTATATTCGTGTAATCATAGTGTCATACATTTTAGAATAGATTAAAATGCCAGTTGGAGACAAATCAAAGTATAGTGATAAACAAAAACGTCAAGCAAAACATATTCTTGATTCAGAGATGTCATCTGGAAAAGATGAAAAGACGGCCAGTCGTATAGCTTACGCAACGGTCAATAAAATACATGGTTGGTAATAAACCTGTGTACCATGGTATGTACTAAAATGCGTTTTTTATTTGTTTTTAAAAGGTGGCGGGAATATTTCCGGTAGCGGTCGAGATCAAGAGGAGAACAAAGAACCAATGCAACGAGGTGGACGAAAAGGTGGTTCACAATCAAGAAAACGTGGTTCTTCATCGACATCAGCAACTCGTTCGAAAAAATCATCATCTAAAAGTCAAATAGTAACGAAATCAGATGAAGCTGATAATACAAAAGAAGAACCATCGGTTTCAACGAAACGAGGACGTGGTAGACCGAAGAAAACTACAAAAGGTGGTAATGTGTCGGCTAAAAAACCGTCAAAAGGAAAAAAGAGTACAAAACGTCTTAATCGTACTGCTAGTAAAAAGAGAACGATAAAATGAATCAAACGTATTGGAAGAAAAGAAAATTTGATTTAAAATGTGTAAAACTGTATTTTTTTGTTTTATTATGCTGCAATAACCAACTATATATAGACTAGATGGTAGTTTATTAGAATAGAAAGTTTTAACTATCTGCACATATTTTTCATGTTATTACTCGTTAGTTTTTGTCGTTGAAGACAAATAAATACATATGCTATTCGTTCTAGAAAAAATAGTTATGAATTCAATAAAACCTAGAGGTTCAAACCCAGAGAAGATTTTTAGTAGAAATTTCTTTAAAGGCAACTCATGGTGTACAAAGACTTATGCGTTTCTTAAGCACAATTCTTTACGTCTCATCTTCAAAAGTTTTTCATATTATTAAACCGTCGTATCGACAATTAGATCTAATTCTTAGAGATTTTTTATATTTTCAAACTAAAAGTATAAAAATTTGTCCTCGAAAGTCATCTGTTTCTGCAATACGTTCAGAAGTATACGAATGACAGCAGTTTTACTAAAAGCTGGTGAACATTTTTTAGTTAACAAGTTCTGATGGTGGTGAGCGATTCATCCATTGAAGATGAGATTATTTCAAATCTACCCTTAGCGATTATTGACATTGTTCTACTATGTTTTTACTATATTTTTAATGTATATGTAGTCAATATGTACACTTCATTCAACTTGAAATTTTTGATGGAATTTTTTCAAAAATGCCTGTTTTGATACTTTTTGGATCACACGAATCAAACTCTTAAAACATATGATTTTTTCCATGTGCTTTCTTATGCTAAATGTCAATCATAGACTGCAAAAGAATCCGTTAAAAAATGCATAGTCTTGTCTGATAAAAGAAACTAATGCAAAACACTGCGCTTTCTAACAGAAAAAATGCAAAATAATCTTCTTTAGGTTAAGTAAGATTTTGACATGACTTTTAATAATGTAAAAAATAAGGTTATATGATCGTTCTTCGCGATTATTTTTGTTTACTATTTGTTGAAAGTTAGAATTAGCTGATACAAAATAGATAGATTATTAGAGTTCCAAGTACATACTTTAATTCCGTAGATTTATTTAAAAACAAACATTTCGACCTCTTTTATTGAGGTCTTCTTCAGTGACGATAAATGCAATAAAAATAAAAATCGTTAGGCAGCAAGTTACGTTATATATAACAGAATTTAACGATTTTTATATTTATTTTTATATATTTTTATTGCATTTATTGTCACTAAAGAAGATCTCAATACAAGAGGTCGAAATGTTTATTTTTAAATAAATTTACGGAATTAAAGTATCTACTTGGAACTCTAATAATCTATCTGTTTGTATCAATGTAGCCGCTACAGAATCGAAATGGACAAATGTTCTATTACTTTGTCAATAATTAATTCTTGTTCAAAACTTCCTCTTTTTTTTATAAATAATCCTTTAATGTGCTAAATTCACGTAATTCATCATTAATTATAGTGAAACAGAGGTCTTAGTCACACTGAATACATTCAAGATTTATTCAAGTCTGTTATGTCTACATTTATCTACAGATATCATGCCACTAATCAAAATAAAATCACTCATTATACCGCTGTAAATTTTTACAAAAATTCTTTTATCGGCATCCATACGAAATGAACTTTTGTACATTGATGTCGAATCACGATGCACACCTGGTGGTTTCTTCTATTTTTTTTTATCGACATGAATACACATCAGTGCCATTATCTTTGTTTTTTTGATGACATTGACATGTACAGATGTCAAATCTGGAGATAAAAACTAATAATACTTTACGGGCTGTTATCACTTTAAATACCATCAAGTCATTTCTAGTCATAATCTACAGTTTGTTCTAGAGAATTTTCATAACGAAAATTTAAGTTTTAAATTTAAGAAGAATGTTGTACACAGGGGCGTCACGGTAAGAAATTATCCATAGAATGGGAGTAATAATTTTTCACATTTAAGAAATAAATAACCAGTACAATTATTGTTTCGTTTTGAGGAAAACAGCATAAACTGTAAGAACTTTCGGTCGCAAAACTGATTTTGTTATAGAAAGTTTTGAGGGTTTTGCTCCGATTTTGACTTAACATTCTCCTCTGCTTTTTTGACTTAGAGATGTCATGAGTTATTGATTTGACTGAGAAAATCAATATCCTTAATCATTTTTAGATGTGTTGAAAATATTTAAAATCTAAAGATAGAAATCGAGCTTATAGCATAAAAACGTCAATGGAACTGGTGCCATAGCTGACAATCAATCGTAAAGCTGGTCGAATCACAATGAAATAAATCATGAAAAAAGCTTGTCAGCGTTGCTTCTACGAAGCAAAAATGTGAAAATTTCCTATTGAACTGTTGGAGTATAACATAGAAGATGTATAAATAGAAGGAAGTTAAATAAGAATAGTAGCGCGTGAGAGAAACTTCTATTTAATAGCGTTTTTTCCTGATCATATGGAGAGATATGGTAATACTTTTTGAAATTTGTGTCTAACAACATCAGATCAATAATGCAGTGTCTGTTACTAGTCCATTCAGTAGCTGTAAACACCAAATTTATATTGAAATTTGATCAATCACAATTTCACCCCGAAAGTTTACAGCTACGGGAATGTGTGTTTACAGCTACTGACAAAAAAACCCTGGAAACCACAAAAATCCTGGTATATAAACTTTATACTTCAAACTTCCTTTTCCTTCGGAAAACGGACAAGTCCTATGAATTTTTCACAAAATAAATGATTTCAATGAATGAATAAAATCACCATATGGATCAAAGATGCAATGTTTTATCTAGGTTTCGTTTTTTGAGTGGGCGATTGAAATTTTTAGAGGGACTGTTGGTTAAAAAAATTTTGCTAAAACGCAACCAACTGTTTATTTTCGGGTGGGCGAATCGAAATTCCGGGAGGGCGCCGCCCATCCGGCATACTCAGTAGATAAATCACTGCAAAGATGGACATCAAAAATTGATGTGGAGTGGATCAAATATAAAAGTTTTATTATATAACCCATTATGTAACAAAAACAAGTTTATCGTTTTACATATGCATACTTTTAGTAAATCCTCATATAACAGTATTCCATTGATTCGAAGTACTTCGTTCATTCAGTAGTTTTTCTGTGTTTGCTTTTACTTCTGTTTGACTAGAGCTATCGTTTCTAAGAGTTAGATGTCAATCTGGTCGTCTATCTGAAAAAGAGGCTAGGAATAAGCTATGATAACAAGTAATAGTAAATAGCTTAATAGTTCAACGATATACAATGAAATTTGAGTTTTTTTCAAAATTTTCTGACTTTTCTAACCTTGTTGACAAAAAAAAAAACCTTAGTTATCGAATAAAGCAGTCATCGTTCAGTCAAAATTAGATGGCTTTTTCGCCTTTAAAATCAAGAGATTACTTGGCACAATCGTACTTCTTACAAATTGTCTTTTTTTGGCTTTCAATCAAGTGCTTGCGATATGTAAACAATTAAGAATGAAAACGGTATACGTGTTTATAATTCAAAATTATCATCGATAAAAAAACAGCGCATTAGCAATTTTTAATTTTCATCATTACGGTTTCCAGGTGTAATGAGTCAATCACAACAACTCGTTATCATCACACCATCGCATTTAAGTCCATAAGAGATAATAACTGAGAGAAACTTTAAACACAATACAACAGAAGAGAGAAAAAGAGTTTGAGTAAAATAAGATAATTTCGAAAATAATAGTATTATGTGGTATATTCTATTACTATTTGTAACAATATCTGGTCAACAACTTTCTGTTCCATTACGATTTGATCATGCATTATCATCTCTACATTCAAGAATTAAATATTTACAACAATCACAATTGATTGTTGACGATATTCAGTTTGACAACTTGTCCTTAAATGATGATCCCTATTTCAATAATACAGCTTGTGAGAGAGATGTTGACGTGTTATCTCGAGCAGTGTTAAATAAAGAAACGTGGGCATTAAAATTTTTAGATTCATGGGGTAAACCGGCTGCAGGTTTGTTACAAGGCAATATATTTTGGCTTGGGAGTTATGAAGAATGTCTCAGTAATATGTACCAAATGAATAAAACGTACTTATCCCAACCATTTCAAGGCCAGTATTGTACAATATTACCACAATCGGTTGAAGATGAGACGTCATTTGAGGGCTTTACAGGTTTAGTATATGGGATATGTGTACCGGAGTCATGCAACAAAACAGAAATTGTAGTCGTAGTTAAAAATTTAATAAAATCGAAATCAAATATAACCGAAAATTATCTACAATGTTCAAATAAAAATTCATTTTATCAACGATCGTTGTCAACTGGAGCTATTGTTGCTATTGCAATAATAAGTTTGCTAGCAATTCTTGTACTTATAGGTACAATTGTTGACTTGTTTTTGAGTGATAAACTCCGTGAATTCGGTGCATTGACGCATGCCAATGGTTACAATTATATGTCAGATACATTAGCGGATAATAATAGTAATAATCTAGAAAGTGTATCAGTACCTCGATATTCACGGGTGTCTTTACAAGTTCTCATTGATACATCGAAAACTGCTGCATTTTTAGCAGAATTTTCTGCTTTGAGAACATTATTAAAAATATTTTCATTAAAAGAATCGGCAGAATCATTTACATTTTTAAACGGTATTCGTGTATTATCGTTATTATGGGTTATTTTCGGACACACTTACGTGTTTGGATTCTTTTATACGGACAATATTGCACAAATATTCTCTTGGACACAACAATTTTTATTTCAATTAATTACAAATGCAGTGTTTAGTGTTGATACATTTTTTGTTATTAGCGGATTTCTTACAGCCGTTCTGTTTACAAAAGAAGTAAATAAATCATCTAATGGTTTAAACGTTAAACTTTGTATTATGTATTATGTTCATCGATTTATTCG